AGGACCCTTCAGTCCGCAGGCCAATGCTCTAACCAGTGACCCAAACCGGCGAGGGCAAGCGAGAGGGATTCTTAAATTCTCTCTTCACTGACGCTTCCCAAAGAACCAGTGAGGACCGCAGGAATCCAGAAATTACAGACCCGCTTTGCAGGCCGCGGCGTGCTGTCATTCCCCCTGCCTGGTCCCGGGTCACCGGCCCGAAGACAATGGCTTCTTATTTTCCCAGGATCCACCACGGCGTGGCAGGCCGAGGCCTTCCCTGTGGTCACCCGGCTCCCGGCTCCAGCACGGCCCCCGGGACGCCCCAGGTTCCCCAGCCAGCGGTCCGGCTGCCAAAACCCTGCCAGGATTGATTCATTCCTTCCACAACTTTTGAAAAAAATTTCAAGGTCATTTCACAAAGCTCGGAAATTGAATCCAAATCCACTCCCAATTCTCGCCCTCTTCCCTCTAAATCTGCCTTCCTAAGCCTCTTAGGGAGAAGACAACTATTATATCTTATCAGCTGCTCCGGGTCTTAAGTCCCTGTCCTGTGGCCATGCAAACACTCCCACACCAACGACAATTAGAGAAACAATTAGCAGCAAGGTGTGTGCCTGATTTCCCAATTCCAATCTGCTTGTGTCAGGGTGGCCCTGGATGGGAGGGTGTCAGACACTGCTGGGGGCCTTCCTCTGATCCCCTCCAGCCTCTCCCCAAGCCCACTCAGGGGGAGGACTCCTCCCCAGCCCTCTAGCACCTCACCCCGGATGGAGGCTGGGACCAGTGCCCAGCGCCCCCTGCCCCCTCTTTAAATTTTTAAAAAATATATATATTTTATTGATTTTTTACAGAGAGGAAGGGACAGAGATAGCTCTCTATCTCTCTCCCCTGCGCCCTCCTGTTGCCCAGCCTCCCCGCTGGGACTCCACCTTCATGAGGGTGAAGGGACCCATTCCCCCTCCTTCGTCCCCATAAGGAGGTGACCGACAAGGTGTGCAATGAACAAAGGAAAGCGAATTGGGGGCGCACCGGAGGGACCCAAAGAGCTTTGGGGGGGAGGGGGTCTGGGTGCCTAAACTGCTTTCCTTGAGCCCCTGAAAACCTCCCCGGATTCAGGAAATGAGCTCCCTGTCACCCCCACCTCCCGCCCCGTCGCCCCCTCACTCAGGGGGGAAGCTGCCAGCCTCGCTTTCACAAGCAGCCGTGGGAACAGCATCCTCCACACAGGTTAAGACAGTAACTCCACGTCCGAACGTCTGAGAGGCCACTAGCTAAGGCCTGTCAGGAGAGGTGCTCTCACGGTGAGGTTAGCAGAGCAGCCGAATTTCCCCCGCTCCCGCCCCATGCCCAGCCCAGAGCCCAGAGCCAAAAGCTGCGCTCCACGGAGCTCCCTCACAGTCAGGGGGTCCATTCCGCCCCCCCCCCCTCACGCTGTTACTGGGCCAGGTGACCACACCCGGAGGCCGCTCCTGACACCTTGCTGGACCCGCAGGGGTCTGTGGGAAGCCCGCTCGGTCCATCAGCATGTGCCAGGGCCAGCTTTTACCGGGGCCTCCACTGCCCTCCGGAAAAGGGCCCTACCTCCCGCCTCCTGGGCGCCTGGGGCCTTCCGGAAGCCTCTGCAGGGGACAGTGCTGGGCCCGGGGTCGGCACACTCATCTGTCCACAGAGCCAAACAGCAACAGCACAATGACTGACATTCCTTTGGAGAGCCACATTTTTTAAACTGAAACTTCTTCTAACGCCACTTCTTCAACATAGACTCACCCAGGCCGTGGCATTTTGTGGAAGAGCCGCACTCAAGGGGCCAAAGAGCCGCATGTGGCTCTCGACCGGCAGTTTGCTGACCACGGGGCTAGGCGAACGCTGGGGTTGCAGTGGCGGTCCCTGCTCTCTGCACTGAGCGGCAGGTCCATTCCTGTGTCCGGGGCAGCAGCAGGCACTTGCATGTCCGTCACGTGCTGTGAACGCCTGTCCACAGCCGCGCGGCCACAGAAGGAGCAGGGTTCTGTGAGCCCTGGCGTAAGGACATGGCGAGGGCCGTGTCTCCTGCCGACGGCAGTTCTCTTCTTGGCCCCTGTGTTAACGCTAAGCCCGGTTTGCTCAGCTGTGAGATGGGAGAACACCTTCCGTCCCAGGGGAGCTGTGCAGCGCAGAAAACACTCAGGCTGGCACCGGCGTACGCCCAGCCCATTTGAACTCACACACACCACTCCCCACACCCTGACCCCACTCCCCACCATCGCGAGGCCCTGAGACTGCTCTTGAGGCCACGTGCCGCCTGCTCCGTGACACCAGCCAGCCTCCGGACCCCACAGCAGACGGAGCCCCGCTGCTCTGGAACTGCAGAACCAGGGCGGACTGTAAATAGACAGCCACCCTGGCATTCCCTCCCTCCCCGTGTCACTGTGCCTACCGCCTGTGAGCGGAGCCGTACTGCAGCACTGCTCCGGCGTGGCCACGGGGAGCAGCCCCCCTTTCTGAGCCCCCCAGGGGCTTCTGGGGGAAATGTCCAAGAACCTGCTCCCCCGGGCCCCTCCCTACACTCGCATGGACCCCTGTCCAGACCGGGCAAATGCACGCTTTTTAAAACACAAGGTCCCTCACACGGGAAGTGTGAGGGCACGGTATGGGCAGAGACACAAAGGGGTTCACAGACCCCGGAGGTGTCAAGTGCCTCAGGGTGCGATGCTGCTGCCACTGCTGCCCTGTCAGAATGTTCTAGAGCCGTGGTCTGCCAACTCATCGGCCCACAGAGCCACAGATCAACAGCACAACGGTTGAAACTACTTCTGAGAACCAAATTTTTTTAACTTAAACTCCTTCTAACGCCACTTCTTCAAAATAGACTCACCCAGGCCGTGGTATTTTGTGGAAGAGCCACCCTCAAGGGGCCAAAGAGCCACAGTGGCTCTCGAGCCGCAGTTAAGTCAGCGCCCATCCTGGACCCCTGCAGGCTCACCCCTCTGCAGGGGGGATGGGGTCCGCACCCGGGAGCAGCCACGGGGAGCAGAGAGCCCAGCAGGCGGGGCCCTCACCCCAGAAGTCTACCTCCGAGGGCGGAGGGAGCCAGCACCATGAGACCCTCTGAAGGGGCCGCACGGCTTTTCTCCCCAGCTCGGGCTTAGCGGGAGCACTTCCCGTCTCGGTGTAAGACCGAGCTGTCCCTCTGTTACGAACCGAATGTTGTTCAGACAGTTAACCTTCCAGAACCTCAATTTCCTCGTCTGTGAAAACGGTGAAGACATTCCCCACCCCAGAGCTCTCCAAAGGAAAGTGAGATCATGTGCACAGATCCCGAGGTGCCGGCCGAGACAATAAAAATCCTTATTTCTAAAGAAGCAACCACTCTGCTCACGTTCGCCATCGCGCTGCCCGGCTCGGGGACACGGAAAGCGAGGAGCAGAGGCGGCCAGTCCTTGGTCTGAGGTGGCCCAGGAGGGAGCCTGGGTGTGAACCCGTGACCTCGCCCCCTGAGGGGGCCCTGGCCCTTGCCGCCCCCTCCCCCTCTGCGGTTAGGCGCGCTCCTTATTCAGGAGGCGTGACTGAGAGGCACTTCATATCCCGCCAGTGTCACCTCATCTACTCCAGAAGCACCTTTTAAACATGTAAGCAGCTGTGAGAAAACCTGCCTCTCGTAAAGAGCTGTTACCTCGCACGGGCTGCGGCCACAGCAGCCCCGGAGGGTCCTCACACCAAGGGCAGCGCAGCCCCGGCAGGAAACTCCTGCTCCGAGGCGGACACATGGCCGCCGAGCTGGGAGCTCAGCCTTAGCGTCCCCGTCTATAAAATGGATTTACCGCAACACCTACAATGTTCCCGCACGAGAAGCCACTTGTGCCGGCCCTGGGGGTCCTCTCCTCCCTCCCGTCTGATCTGGGAAATCACCCCGAAGGCTTGCTCTTATATTCCTCCCTGGCTGAGCACTCTCTGGCCTTATCCAGCCTTCGCAGGAAGGGGACCGGCGCCCAGGCTGGCCCAGCCAGTGCAGAGAAGAGACCTTTGGGGAGAAGGCAGGAGCCCACGCTCCCGCCTGCACCGCCTCCTCCTCCACAGCCGGCCAGTGCGCTCTTAGGCCCGGCTGGCCTGGCCGCCAGGTCCCCAGCACCACGCGCTCAGGGAGAAGCTCCAAGGGCCCAGCGCTGGTCTCCACTGGCCGGGGCACGCAGCCCTAGCCGCTGGGCAGGAGCCAGGCCAACAGGGCTGTGGGCAGAAAGGCTTGCCCTGGAGGAGCCGGGCGGCAGCAGCACCCATGAAAGGCCAGGAAAGCAGAGGGAGAGAGGGCACCCCTAAGCCCGACTGCACCGCCCCCCCCCTCGGAAACGGGGGGGGGGGGGGATGCGCCAGGGTCCACCCACACTCCCCGAAAAGCCCGAGCCTCCTGCTGAGGGTCCCAGGCTCCACAGCTCCCCTTCGGATCCTGCTTCCCCAAACAGCTTCCTGCCTGCACAGGAGGGAAGGACCCTCGCTCTCCCCAAGGGTCTGGGGGAAGGGGAACCTGAGGCTGCCCCTCTCCTGCCCCCCAACAGACCCCAGCGCTCCCCACCCCTTCCAGGAGACCTAGAAACCAAGTGTGCTTTCAAACCAGAGCACCCCGTTTCTTTTTCTTTTGGACTCGGCAGAGCTGCCCAATTTTCCTTCCAAACCTGGGCTACATGGCTTTGTTTTCTGGCCTCAGCCCGTGGTCCCGGAGAGGCGCGAATCACAGCCCGTGGCCCATCTACATGGCCGTCACTTTATTGTGTTGTCACCTTTAACTTAACTATAAATACTACAGCGAACGAGCGAGGCGCAGGTGGCTGCGGCTGCGGACGGGACTGCGGGGCTGCGAGCCACCCAGCGCTGCCCCATCCGGGAGCCAGCCGGCCGCCGGCCCGCCCGGCTCTGTACACTATTTACAGCTCCGGTTCCGCTCCGGCCCTGGCCCTCTCCTGCAAGCCGGCGTGTGTGCAAGAAAGTGGCATCGTCTGTCTGTGCAAGTCCTTCCAGCGCGGCGAGCGCCGGGCCAGCCGTGGCCGTCAGCTGTCCGAGTCCAAATCGCTTTTACCTTCCTCTTCCCTCTTCTCGGGCGACGCCTTGGAGGACGGCTTGGGCCACTTCTCGGCGTTTTCCGACTCCTCCGACGAGGACCGCTTCTGCCGCCGCCACTTGGCCCGGCGGTTCTTAAACCAGACCTGGCCGCGGAGGACAGAACAACGGTTACAGCAAAGGCTCGCTCGCTGGCTCCCCCAAACCTGGGCACCCCGGGCAAAACCCTGTGACTCAGAACCCGGACAGGAGCGCGCCCGCGGCAACAAAAAGAAAGGAGACTCGCTCCCTCTCCCGCATTTCCCGGCCTCTTCCTGGGCCTAGAGGGCCCTGCAGGCCTCCCGCCGCCCGCCGGGACGATGCGGAGTGGGGAGGCCAGGGAGGCGGCCCGGCCGGCGGGCCCCGGATCGGGAAGGGCCGTGGGGAAGGTCTCGGTACGGGGCCGGCGCCTACCTCCACCTTCTCCTCGCGGAGGTGCACCTTCCGCGCCAGCTGCTCGCGCGTGCCCACGTCGGGGTACTTGGTCTCCTGGAAGAGGTTCTCCAGCGCCTCCAGCTGCTCGTCCGTGAAGATGGTGCGGTGCCGCCGCTTCCGCCGGCAGTGCAGCTGGTTGAGGAGCTGCAGCTCGGAGCGCGACAGCGTGCCCACGTTCATGTAGGGCAGCATCTGGTGCGGCACCGGCGACACCAGCACCGAGCCGGGGCCCTCGTAGCCTGCGGGGAGCGGGCGCGGTCAGCGGCTTCCCGGCCCCGGGCCCGCCGCCGTTCCAACGCTAAGGAAACGCGCCTACCAGGGAGCGCTGGGGTGGAGGTGCATGGAGACCAGGGGTGCAGGGAAACGGGGGGATGCGCCAGGGTCCACCCACACTCCCCGAAAAGCCCGAGCCGCCTCCGCAGCCAGTTCCCGCCAACCCCCATCAGGTCGCAGCAAGTGCAAACCCCTGCCCCATCGGCAAACACGGAGGAAAAGAAAATAAACGGGGCGCGGGGAGGGGATGATCCGGGTTTGCAAGAGGAGGAAAGTCGGAGGGAAGTGGGGAAAGCTGGCGCCCCCGCCCGCCCGCCCGCCCGCGCCCCGAGGCGGAGGCCCCGCGGCGGCGGAGGCGGGGAGCCGGACCTACCTGGCGGCGCGGGGACGCAGGAGCACTGGGCGCCCAGCGGCGGCACGGCCCCGCAGCACGCCGGGCCCACGGGCGCCGCCTGCACGTGCAGCTGCCCGTAGAAGTAGTTGCCATAGCCCAGGCGGGAGCCGCCGACCGCGGCCGGGAGGCCCGCGCCGCCGGGGGCCACGGGGCGCGGGTAGAAGGCGCCGTAGTCCGGGGAGGAGGCGGCGCTGCCGCCGGCGCCGTAGAGCGAGTCCCCGTGCAGCGCCGGGAAGACGACGGGGGCGGCGGGGCCGGGAGCCACCGGCAGCACCGCGTCCTTGCAGCGCGGCCGCGCGGCCAGGATGTTGTCGATGCTGAACATGCTGGCGGGCATCCCCGAGCCCCGCGCGGGGCCGGGACGGGGACCGGGGGCGCGCGGAGGAGGAGAAGCGCCTCAGCGTGGGGGGGCCCGCGCCTCCGGAGCCGGAGCCCGAGCCCGAGCAAACCGAAAGAGAGTGCCGGCGAGCGCGGCCGCTCCCTCCCCTCCCCTCCCCGCCCCGCGCCCTGCGCCCGCCTCCCTCCGCCTCCGCCCTCCGCCCGCCCCGCGCCGCCGCTCGCCGCGCTCAGCCGCGGGCAGCACCGAGTTTCGCGCAGCTGAGCCTCTCGTTGGTTTTATACCGAGCCGACGTCATCCTGGATTTGGTTCCCGGTAATATGCAGATGACAAACAGGCCAGACTCGGCCCGCGCCGTTCCTGGGGGGCGGGGGGGGGCTGGAGGGGGGAGGGGCAGAGGCGCAGGGGGGAGGGGGCGAGGGGCCCGCGCAGAGATTGTGGATTGCAAATTAATGAAATTAACCTAATCTTTCCCATTCGGCCGCGCCGCCGCGGGCCGGGAGCGGGGCGGGTGGCCTAATTGCCCCGTTAATCTCATTAATGCCTTCGTGCGGTCTCCGCGCCCCAGGACCCTCCGCCCCACCTTTCCCCGCGGATGGGGTCCTATTATTGGTGCCATTTCCCCCACAAAAAGCTCACCTTCATTGTGGCCCATTCTACTTTGGGGCAACTTTTCTTTTTTTCTCCCCCCTTTCCAATTTTGTTTTGTTTTTTGGGAAATGTGAGGGGCAGCGTCCACCCCCAGTGGCACCGAAAGGTCCGCTCCGGGCCGCCCCGCGCGCTCCTGTCACCTCCGCTTTCTGTGTCTCTGCAGCGCGTTGGTTCCCTTTCGTTGTGGCGAAGGCCAAACCTCCTAAAGGCACAAGTGATGGAAGAGGCGCCCGTGCTGCTTTAAATGTTTGTAGGGGTGTTTTTTATTTATTTATTTTTTGCAGTCACTTTGGGTCTGAAAACTCCCCCAGCAGCCGGGCCCCAGGCCTTGCCCGGCGGAGACAAAATCCGGCCGCTGGCCACGCGGCCACCGGAGCAGCGTTCCGAGCCCGTGTCCGGCTGTGTGCGCCGCGGGGGCGCCGGGAGGTTTTGTGTTTTAACTTTTTTTTTTTTAGAATTAATTATATTTTGGAAACGGGTTGTCTTCTCTCCCAAACTTTCTGTTTCAATACGAAAACGGGGCTTTGGGGATTCCCCCTTCCCCCCAACAATTGAGTCGCGCTTTTCCCCTCCGACTGGCCGGCTCCCGGCCTGGCCAGGCCTCCTCGCCGGCCTCCAGGGGCAGCCCAGCGGGGCTCCGGCCTCCGCGGCCCGGCTCCGCTCGCCGGCGACATGTGCGGGGTCCTCCCCGCGATCCCCCGCGCGATCCTCCGCGGGACCCTCGCCGGCACTGCCTGCCCGCCCGCCGAAGCCTCCGGGTCGCGTCCAGCCCACGACGGGCGCAGGCAGCTGAGCGCCCGGAGAAGGTAGGGACGGAGCGCGCGGAACGAAAGGAGCCCCCAGGCCCCGCGGCCGGCGCCGGCTGTGCTCTGGGCCTCCGGGCGGGCCGCTCCGGCCGCCGCGGGCAGGAAGGAGCAGCGGGGCCCGGGAGGGCGCAGGGGTTCCCGCAGGAGGCAGCCGGGAGCGCCGCCCCTGCCCCCGCGTCTGCAGGCTGAGGGGCCCGCGGGGCTGTCGGGTCGCCGCACCGGCTGAGAACGCGGGCCGCCCCTGGGCGCTGGGCAGGGAACGGGCACTGTCCGCGGCGGCTCCCGGGCGGACGCCGAACCCGGGCGGCGCGCAGGAGCGGCCGGAACAGGGAAGCCGGCGGCGGCGCTGCTCCCGGGGCCTCCCCGCGCCGCGCGGAGCCCCGCGCCCTCGCCCACCGGGGCCGGAGCGCCCACCGGGGCCGGAGCGGCCACCGGGGCCGGAGCCCGCGCTGCCGATCGGGGCGCCGGGCGGACGGAGAAGCGGCGGCGGGGAGGCGGGGGAGCCGGTCTCCGTGCGAGAGGCGACGGGACTTTCCAATGAAAGCCGCTCCCGGAGGCAGCAGTGGGGCCCCTTCGGCGGGGCCAGGTCCCGGGAAGCAGTGCAGCGCCTTCCCTCCCCTTCCCGCCGGCCGGGCCTGCCCCGTCCTAGGAGGCTTCACCCCCGCCTCTCCCGGTGCCAGCGCCGGGCACAGCGCGAGGCGGGCGGCTTTGGGGCTCGGGCCCGGCGCGCGGCGGGGCGCGTGGGGGGACCTTTCAGATCCCGGCCGAGCCGCCGGGGCAGAGGCCGCGGAAACGGGGCGAGGTTGTGGCTGTCGGCGGCCGCTGTGCTCAGAGCGCAGACCTTGCTGCACCCGAGCCGCCTCCGCGGTTCTCCCTCTCCTTCCCCTGCGCCTGGAGCTCCTTCTAAGCATCAGCCTTAGCCTGCGCCCGGCTCTCCCGCGGCCCCGCGGGCCCACTGACCCCGGAGAAAAGAGCACCGTCCGCGGCCACTTTGGCAAACCACCCCCTCCCTCTGGGCCCTGGGCTCCTAGGGGTAGAGCTGAGGTCTGCGCTCAGGCCTCTTACCACCCATTTAGAGCGGCTGCCCAATTGTTACCCCTTCCAGCGGAGGCTGGGTGGACTTGGGGGCTTTTTTTTAAGCTTCTCCTTGGGACAAAGGAGTGTGCCTTCCCCACCTGTCACCCCTCACCCCTCCAAGGGTGCCAGCTGGGCCCGAGAAAAGGAAAACCTTTCCCAAGTCCTGCCCTCCCGCAGAGGGGCTTCCTGGGAGAGAGAGGTCACAGGGACCCCAGGCCAGGCTACTCCCTTTACCCCCAGCTCCCCACAGCGGGGTGCCCTCGGCCGCCTCTGTCTGCCGCGCTGGGCTGGGTCCGCAGGAAGGCAGGAGCAGGGAGGTGGCTGGGCCCTGCAGCTGCCTCCTCTGGCCGAACCCACAAGTGTCCGCACGCAGCTAGCAGACAGCCAGCGGCCTCGCGGCGGCCGGCGCCATTGGAATGACAGCCGCGTCCACGCAGATTGTGTGGGGCCCCGCAGGCCCGCTCAGCATGGGAGGACCCGAGCGGCCCGGTAAACACGCCGCTGATTTCCCCCATTACCGCCCAAACACGATCTCACACAAGCAATCACCGCGCACAAGTCCGCGGAAATGTGTTTGCCGAGGCGCCCGCCGCCGCGGTAATAGCCCTCATTTTTGAGACATTAAAGGGCGGATCAGCGGATTCCGCGCGCTTAAGGTGAACGCGCGGTACCCGCGTCCTCTGTCCACCCGCAGTCATCGCTGATCGGGTTCCTCCTGCAGGGGACCTGCTTCTCCCACGGAACGCAGAGTCTGCCCCCGGCGCCTCCTGTCCCAGGCTGTTTCCACCCGCACACAAGCACCGCCGCTTGTTACAAACAAACAAACAAACAAACAAGTAAACAATAAAAGCCTAAAGATCCGTGGCCCCAGCTTCTCAGTTACGGGAACGTGCTTTTCCTAATTCCTCAGCCTCCCGCCCGGTTTCGGAGAGGAGCGCATACATAGCTGGATGGTTTCGGGGGGCTCTTCTGTCCTGTGCAGAGAGGGGCCTGTCCTCTAGGCGCGGGCTGCCTCGCAGGGCCAGCCATGGGGGCAAAGCGCAGGGCCAGCCGCAGCCGGTGGGCAGCACCAGACCCCCGTGGGTGTCGCAGCGACTCCACCGTCTTTGGGCTTAAAAAAAACAGTGCTCAAACCTGCCTCAGGGCCCTGCCACCCCCAGGGGACACCGCTGGTAGCCTGGGGGGATTTGCCCCTGGGGGGTTAGGTGGGTGCGGTAGAGAAAGGCAAAATGCCACCCAGCTGCCCCGCACTCGGGCTGGGGCTGCCGCTCCGGCAGGAAAGACCCTCTTTTCGCAACATCCCAGCTCTTGGCAACCTTCCAAATGAACGCACAGCCCCTGGGGACGAAATCATCGAGGTGTTAGGAAAACTCAGCATAACCCTGGGGGAAAGGAGAGGGTGTCGAAAAATGACGCGTTCCCAAAGCCTCAGGAAAAAAATAAAATCGTTTCCAGGGTTGCAGAAACCGGCTCTCCACAGCGGAGTTATTTACTCATTTATTTCCAAAGCGGCTGCCTGTTGCTTTTGCAAATCTCGGAATGCAAATGCTGCTAATTGTCCTGGGCGGGCTTCCTCTTGAAGTGATTAGCGGAGTCAGTCATTTGAAAATCAGAGCGAACGCACCGCCGGTTCTGAAGCCCCTCGCTAATCGATATCAGCTCCTAAAGTTTTCATTCATGTAAACCTCATTAATGAAGATCTTTTATTTAAACGTCAAGGGGATTTGAAATTTAGAGTAAATTATGAAGCTTGTATGTCTAGCCAAGTCATGGGTCAAATGCATTTGTAAAAACTGCTAAAAGAGCATATGGTTTTGAATTTTTCTACAATGACTAGTGTTTAAATAAATTGCTTGTACTGCTTAACTTCATGTGTAATTTTGACAGAAATTGGCCTATAGCCTTTTGATATGTAAACATTTCAGCCTTTTATGCAGCATAAAAAAGACACGTGCTCTTTAGGGCTGGCTCAGGCGGTCACCCTGTAATTCAGAGGGCTGGCGCGTACCATTACATTCTTGCGAGATTTCAACTTTCAAGTGGCAGCCTGGGGGGGGGGGGGGAGAGGAAAAAAAAATAGAAAGAAAGAAAAGAAAGAGGATATTTCAAAAGCAATGTCCATTTGAGATGAAAAGCTGCAAATGAGGTGAGAATGTGCCACTTAGCTATCTGAAAGCAATGGGCAAACCATAGTTATTAGAGAACATTTTCTGTCATTTTTCTTTAAGCCAGCTGGTCCCTTGGAGGGGACACTTATGCAGGCCGGGGGGCTGACTGGCAGCTCATTAAATGCTCGTCCGATCCGTCTAACATACAAATAGGTGTTAAAACTCTGCGTCTCGCCTCAGGATGTTCCCTGGAAAATGGCTCCGTGTCATGGAACCCATTAAGATGCAAACATCACTCCTCTCAGGGGAGAGTCCTGGTGGGCGCGGAGTCACAGGACACAGTGGTGGGTCCCGGCCG